ATATATTCATTCATTTTATCTATCTATATCTATCTATCTATCTATCTATCATCATTTTGTGTATGTGTAGATATACTTCTGTTTGTATAATAATTAGAATTTTAAAAAGTGAATTAAAAATCCCTATATGTAATTAAGGGTAAAGAGCACATCCCAGTGAGTCTTTGTCAGTGAGTAATCAACCTCACTGTGGAAATCATTGTGCAAAACCCATGGCTGAAATATTATTTCTGTTTCCATAGAAATCAGCTGTGGTCTGTCCCTTGTGGTTGAGGCCGAGAGCAGATCAGTCCTACCCACACTCAAACACACAGGTACTCACGGCATAGTGTTTATATCCCTGGTATCACCGCTGATGGTAGCAGGCATGTTTTTATGACAATGGCCAGTGGCCACAGCAAGCTCTCATCACTCCCTCACTCTACTGTAGACACACTAACAGACCTGAGCCAAGCGCCTCAGGCCAGCGGTCTTCTGCTCTCCACCCCTCCTGTGTCCTCCTCCCCTCTGCTTGTGTTTGGCAGGTAGTCAACTAAATTTCTCGCCTGCTGATTCTGCGTCTCCCCACCTCGCCTCCTTTTCCTCTTCCTCTCTTCATTTTCTCTGTAGAAAAGGAGGATTAAGAGATGACGTTCAAATGCGTAGTTGCTCTAAGTGATTGCTCGTGGTTCTTAGGAGATTGCTCTTTGGAGAGGAGAGGGCTAAAATACTCCTATTGTCAACTTTCTGCCTTCGAATTCTACTCAAATCCACCCATAGAAAACAAAAACATGCCTACATTACCAACACACCAAAAGAGAAACAAAAATATCCACCCATTTATATGTTTGTTTTTGTGTTTTCTTATCCTTATCTTTCCATCATTCTATTGTGTGCAGAAAGTCAACTGCGTTCTCCTGAAACTGAAGTGTATGTTTATGAATATTAATAGGCCTGTCAGTGTAACAGATTGGCTGTGTGTAAAGCTCCAAATCAGTACAACATTTTTCTTGAATGTAACTTCACTCTCCAGTGGATCGGTTGCTGTGGCAACAGGCCTGTTTGTTGTGGGTGGGAAGCAGAGACAGACAAACACCAGCATCTGGTGGACTGGCCTCTCTTCCAGGATGGTGTGGCGCAACACCACATAGCATGTTCAGGACAGGCATTCATACTTATTGAGAATTTGAAGCATTTTTTAAAAATGATTTCAAAAGAATAATCTGGGTTCAATTTAAGTTAAGCTTAGGTGACAGCATTTGTGGCATTATGGTGATCAGTTCAGTAATTTACAGGTGTGACAAACGCTTTCTACAACTGAATTAACGCCTGAGAAATTCAGGTTGTGACACAACAACCTTTACAAAAAATTGTATTCAGTGTATATGGAACCGAACTGAAAAACTTGTTGTTTATGACATTTTAGTTCAAATCGCTCAGCATAAGTCTTTTGGCACTGTAATACTACTTTGGTCAAAAATAGCAGTTAGCAAACGCGTGATGCCAGAACATTATTGTGATTACCATGGTGTCGATCATTGCAATTTTAAGAGTGAGTTCTGTTCCATACACACACAAATTTAGGGGATTCACATTCGTATTTAAATGCATTTGTCACTCCTGAAAATGTACAGTGTGTACATGGCTATAAAAGAAGTTGCATTAGCCTAAGTCTTCTGTTTAAACTTGTTTTAGACTAGTTTTAGACTTGACTGTTTAAAAGCTCTTAAAAGCATGATGGGTTCTGATTGGCTGTCAGTGTTTTTATCAATCTAAAAGTGACTCACAGAAAATCATTCCTCTGTGCCGTTATTGTTATAGTTGTGGTCTGGACGTATGTTTTTTTTTTTGTTTTTTTGGTGTGAACAGGCCTTTATTCTATAAGTGTTGTCACTAACTTGTACCAAACCCGGAATAAGTTTAACACCAGCTCAGTGGGAAAAATAGCCTTTGAAACATTGTAAAATGATGTTTGTGCTATGTTGCTATATGCTACTAAGTCCTATGTGTGGAGAACAGCTGTTTGTTCTCGTGATGATTACACACATCTGGGTCTTTCATGAGGATGTGAAAGATTCTGTCAGGCTTTTATTAATTGCTATGGTTCTGTGCAGTTCTCATAGTGACTAGCTGTGGGAAACCCTAGGAAAAGATCACAATGATGAAGTCAGTGGAAAACCAGAATCAAACATGTTTCTTATCTCCTTCTTACTGACATAGACAACATGTTCAGCATTACCACTATGGATTTATTTACATGCAAAATACTTTAATCAAGGATGAATTGTTTGATCGTTAAATTGATCAAAAGTAACGGAAGACTTTTACTTTCAATTTAATTTTTTTAATGCTGTTCTTTTTTACTTTTTATTCTAATGTAAATGTATCATGGTTTCCACACAAAAATATGAAGCAGCACAACTGTTATTATATCCTAATAACATAGCATAACTATTAGTAAGCCATAATGATTTTATCTTCATTCCGGGCTAATCTTAGTACTCTGTCTGTTGTTCTTGCCGATTTTCCAAATTGGTACATTTAGCCTGCAGTTGTAATTTCAACCAGCAGGGGGCTCTGTGTGAAAATGAATTGTTCACACTGTGATTACATTGGGCACAATGGTGACTGTGCACATTGTTGTGTAAAACAGATTATTTTTTCCTTGATTAAGTTTTCTTATAGAGAAATGAATCCCAGGATGACAGATTTACCAGACACATAGTAATATTATGGGGTCATCATGTGGAGAGCATGCTACTGCTCTTAAGAAAGATCAGAAACTGTTGATTTAAGGTTTGTTATTCCATCAAAAGTTAAATGTATGTCATTTGATGAATGGAATTACAACCTCAGCCAGTCTGCCAGCAAATCTCCAGATGAATGCGATTGCACATGGACAACTGGTTACTGGATGGCTCAAATGCTGAGTTCCAGTGTGCCAGACTAATTCAACTGAAAGAAGCACTTCAGCTAATAGCTGTTTACTCAGTCATGAGCAAAACAGCCAAACAGGGATAAATTATCCTGGCATTTCTGTACCCTCCAGTGCCTGGAACACCGAAAGAGTTTAGAGATGTAATGACAAAAGCAAGTGTTTTAGGAAAATAATTCTCTGAAACACCTTGAGTGACTTAAGGGGACATACCAAGTTTATGCAAAGAAGTTTATGAACAATTACAATGGTCATTTGTGTGTGTGTGTGTGTGTGTGTGTGTGTGTGTAATATGATTATAATGGTTTCCCCTTTTAACTTTCTTTACATTTATCCCTCATGTCTGGGGAGGAAGTGCAGGTTACTGTTGTCTGGGGAGGAAATGCAGGTTACTGTGATTACTTTTGTGTTTTTGCCACATCAGCATGAAGATCAGGAGGATAAATATCCGTAGACAGTGGAATGCTCATCTCGCCTTGAGATCTGAAGCAAACGTGCATCTCTCACACAGAGCATAGCACATTAGTTTTCTGAAACTGTATATTGTTTAGTGTAACTGGAGTGAAGCCTTCCCACTACCAGCATGAACCAGAAAACACACAAACACACTTCTCAACTTCTGAGAGTATTCTGTTTGAAATTAGTACTGGCTGCTGTTGAAAAGTCACCCATGTTATGACTGATCCTCAGGTAACATGACACCTTCCTGATCTCTGACAGTGCTGTGTGTCATTGGGTGAATTCCACTGGATGAAACACTTTACATGATTTCTGGAAACTATAGAATATGCTTATTGCTTCACAATTGATTTACAATTTAAAAAGAATGCCTAATAATTTGTACACAATTTTCTATAAAGATTTAAGGATTGTATGCAAACAGAGGATCTGGTGGTTAACCGTGTCAAAAGCAGCAGACAGATCCAGCAAGATAAGTATTGAAGATTTGGAATCCGCTCTTGCCAGTCTTAGGGCTTCAACAACTGAGAGCAAGGCAGTCTCGGTTGATTGTCCACTTCTGAAACCAAACTGGTTGCTGTCAAGGAGGTTGTTCTGTGTGAGAAAGGCAGAGACTTGGTTGAACACAGCTCGTTCAAGTGTTTTTGCAATGAAAGGAAGAAGGGAAACCGGTCTGTAGTTCTCTAAAAGAGATGGGTTAAGGGTGGGTTTCTTAAGTAGTTGGGTTATACGAGACAGTCTAAATGTTGAGGGAAAAACACCAGTGTGAAGGAATATGTTAATTATGTGAGTGAGTGCAGGTACAACTACAGGAGAAATGGCTTGAAGGAGATGAGATGGAATAGGATCAAGCGGACAAGTAGTAGGATTATTAGAAAGGATGAGTTTAGAGACTTCTGCCTCAGAGAGTGAAGAGAAGGATGTGAATGAGTGTATGTTTGCTGGTAATATGTGCTTGACAGATTGTGGTGTGGAAAATTGTGCACTGATGTTTTTAATTGTATTAATGAAACATGTTATGAACAAAGTCATTTAAAGTGCTTATTTTGTATAGATGAAATCTTATGAATCTTACGAAGCTGACTTTTCAGTAGCCATTACTCCAGTCTTCGGTGTCAAATGATCCTTTTGAAATAATCTCCTTTGTAACATTAAAATGCTTTTTTGATCAAATGAATACACTCATTCTGAATAAAATGATTAATTCCTTTAAAAAATGATTGTGACCCCAAACTTATGAATGGTAATATATTATTATCATCTTTATTTTAGATTTTTTTTTTGAAGAATGTTTCTTTCGTCCTAAGTTTCAACAGATCCAAACATCCAGCATCACCGTGGACTCTGTGGATAAAGCTGTAGATGTTACCCTATGCTCAATAGGCATATCCATACTTCATAACTTTAGTTGAAGTAGCTTATCATAGCAGAACAGTAAATGTTTTGCTGTCTACAGAACCGGAGGCTGCAGGTGGCCAGCATTTTGGCACTTTCCATATAAACAGATCCAGTGAGCCGGGCCAAACTGGCCCCAGTAGTTCCGCCACTGAGCATGTGGATCACTGGAATAACAATCACTGCTCTGCAAGAGAGCCACTGTGTGTGTCTTACACAACAACACCACCATCAGCGCCACAGGTGCAGAGAGATGAGCAAAAAAAGATTTCAATCGTTTGCATGGGATAAGCCCTATTTTACAGGTCTAAGCAATTTTGTGTGCTCATTATGTCTGGAACGACTGTTTGTTATGATCTCATTGCAGACAATGACAGACTCATGTGTTTTTAGCCTATAGAGCCACTTTCCCATATTTGATATTGGTTATATTTATAGGTGGTATGAATCGGGTGCAGCTGTGTTGACTTTCCCTCCTTAAGATCTATATGCTCTGTTGGCCCCCTGCAGCCTAAGTTAAGAGTTAAGTATTTCCTTGAAGTATTG